CTTCCTTCCTTCCTTCCTTCCTTCCTTCCTTCCTTCCTTCCTTCCTTTCTTCCTTCCTTCCTTCCTTCTTCCCTTCCCCCCTCTTTCTCTTTCTCTCTCTCTGTTTTTTTTTTTTTTTTGAGACAGGGTTTTTCTATATTATCTCTGGCTGTCCTCTATCACTCTGTAGATCAGGCTGACCTTGAACTCAGAAATCTGCCTCCTGAGATTAAAGGCATGTGCCACCACTGCCCAACGAGAATGTTTCCTTTTCAAGAAAGAAAGCCAATATTACTGAAATGTTTTGCTTCCTTAGATTCTGAATTATATTATGGTAGAATTTGGAGGAAGATGTAACATTTTTGTATCAAGTTGCAGAAAAGTTATTATTTATTGTCTAAAATTTAGAGTAGAAAACAGTTATTTTGTTTATTCATTTAAAAAGACAAAACAAATTTGTGAGGCGCATATACTTTCTATACTTTCTGTATACCAAGAGGTATATATATATAGACAAAAGTAATCTTGGCTTCCTAAAATATAACCACAGGATGGGGCTATTTGCTTGTAAAAGGAAAAGGCAGTGCTAGTCAAGGTGGTTAGATTTTACTTAGCTACAAAGACGGGCTGTGTTCATTTGTCATCACAAGTTTTGTTTTTTTAACTATGTGATTATTTTGAAAATGTATGGAGTCTGAACTGTCTATGAAAGCATATAGTATTGCAAATAAGCTGGCTAGGACCGTACATACAAAAGTGGCTCTAATAACCACATAAATTGTGTATGTGATAAGTACATGGTGTCTGCTGTACTAAACATTTCTAAGTTACTTTTCCAGCTTGAGTTCCTGCCCAGCAACTTCTAAGTAAGATTTGTTTGCACACATATAGTATGTTTTCAAATATCTTAATCCATTACACATAATGATCCATGATGTAAACCGGTAACTTCAAATTACATGAAATTGTAGGGATACCCAGATTTCTATTAACACCAAATCTCACAGCGTATGAATGTCTGGATTTTCTAATCTTAATCTGTTTGCTCTTTAATTTTTATTGATTCCATTAATTTACTATTTTACAATCCTTCCAATGAATATTTTTAAAACACATTAAAGTCTTAATGATCTTACGTCGATTAAAGATAAGTTGCATTTTTAAATCAACAAGTAATTAGACCATAAATTTACACAATCGAGATTTTTAAAATTCAGAGCTGGTGGTGATATTAACTAAGACATATTCTTTTCACAGAACTAATGGAGCAAGACCCCAAATGACACCGTATGTCATTTCACTTCGTCTCTTTAAATATTGGTTCTATTTTTGAGAAATAGGTTTCTCATTGGAGTAAATTTCTTTTTTTTCTTTTTGCCAAAAGATAATGAAATAACTGTTTCTCCACCTTTTATTTCTTGCCCTGGGGAAGTGTTTGGTGCTTAGCCATAGTAGCTTGTGACTTGCTCTCCTGTTTTTTTTTTTTTTTTTTTTTTTTTTGTGTTGTTTCAACTTTAATACCAACTTGTTTTATGTGTTTTAAATTCAGTCTTACATCTTCATATCAGGTGTGGAAGAATAGACAAGAATAAGAAAAGTACTTAATTTTCAGTATATGTGATAATTAATTCTACTAATATGTGAAATGTGTCTCCATCTGAAGTTAATATGTAATGCTTATTTAGTTGTAAGTTTTCCCACAGAGAGAGGATCTTAATAACACTTGGAATATAAGAGAACATATTGTATTCATCTATGAAATATTTAGGGATATTTATGCAAGCTGAATTTTAACAGCATTAAGCTAGTTCTCAACTGTATTAGACTGCAGCACCAGGAGGAGGCATTTCACAAACAACATGGGCATGCACAATGAAGCATTCACTGAGATGCTTGCAGTTGCTATAGAAGACATCACCCAGTAATCGGATGGTTCTGCTTACACAGACTCAGCATGAAAGCCATAGCTAGAACTGCAATCTGATAGGAGAATGTTGTCTCATGAGCCCTAATGCCACAGCTTCATGAACAGTTGACTCCCTTCAGAGTTTCCGACAAACATGGCATCTCTTCTCAGTTACACTGTTCACATCTATATAAATATTATATATTAAAAAGAAAACATTGTGCGTTAAAACTATGGAAAATATGTTATTAACGTGTTAGACGGTTTGCCTAAAAATGTATGTATGCTTCACTTGATGTGTCTGGCAAACATGTTGATGTTACATGGGTTGGAGGACAGTACCCAAGGACAGTTCCTCTTCAGGACACTTAGGGTGTCCCACACCTCAACAGGCAACAGTGGTGCAAACTCTCAGCCTTGTTGTTACCTCAGCACCAACCACAAACTTGGAATAGTTACTGGGCGGCCACTCTTTCCTCTCCCTCCATTAGAAAGACCACTTTATAGTTGTCATTTGGGTTTGTTAAACAAACACTGCAATTAATGTGCAAGGTGAAATTGCAAGCATCGCAGGTCACTTAGCGAAACCAGAAGGTGAAAACACTTAGACGCAGGGACCAGTTTGGGTCGGTGAGTAATCTGGTGCAGTGTTAGTGAGGGTCAGGGGGGAGCATAACTTGGTAGGGGCTGTCTCCCGGTGCCAAGGCATCACACGTCTCAATGAGCAACAGACCGTACAGTGATCAAGAGCTCTGAAAAGCTGTCTGACTCCTGGGAACATGCTGTGAGTAAACAGATGGAGACGCTTAGGAGAAAAGGGGATTTTAATAATGGACAGAAACTCTGCAGAGGGGAGACAATTTGTAATCTTAAAATTTAAAATAGCGTAATTTAAAAATCATACTATAAAAGGTTACAAAATTCTCACAAACTCAGTATTAGAAGAGATTGATAGTATACTGCTGGAAAGATAATTGTATTTGTATAGTTTGTTTCATGGATTTCATCTTCACTGGGCAGCTTCTTCTTAATTCTGCTGTGCTTGTTTGAACAGCTCACAGCAACACCCAGCATTGCCAGTGCTCCATACACATGCTGAACGCAATATATGCTATATATGTATATGCAATATATATTAATTATATATTTGAATACAAGTCCCTGCCCCTTCATCAGAGTACCAAGACTTTTCAGTCGTTAGGAAACTGTACTCAAAGCCAATATATCCATCTTTTTAACTTGTGAGTTGTTTTTTGTTTGTTTTTTTTTTAACTGACTTGAAGGGTTTATGGTTGCTAGAGTTGAATGAATAGAATATATGTGAAAATGATTAATTATGAAGGGAAAGAAAGCAAAGGACAGGGATGAAATAAAATTTAAAAAAGTGTTGGTTTCTTGAACACAGTGAAACTGTCATCCCACTTCATGGAATTAAACAAATGCTTAGAAAAGTGACAGTCTCTTGTGAATAATGAAAGAGAAAGCAACTTTTGCTTTTTAGATGTACTTGTCATTGCAAGGTCAGATTACATCAGGCATTTCATTTAAAAAGTTCTTGTATTGATTTTCTTCTTTAAATATATACTTTGGTTGGGAACTGAAGATTTTTAGAATGTTATTTGAGCATATCAGCTTGGTTTACCACCGTGAAGCTTTGTCTAACTAATATGCACTAAGCATCTTTGGCACAAAAATCCTTGCACGGCATCTATTCTGCCAAGTTTCTTGAGTGCATTTAAAGCATGCTATTTATATTCTGCACATAAAAATACCAGCGAAGCATGGCCCTCATGGAATTTAATCTGAAAGTTTTTACACAGTGATGGAGATGTGCTCAAATAACTTTAAACTCAAAGATCTTGCCATGGACAAGTGTGTCATTAATGGATAGTTCACAAAGTAAAATGATTTCAAATAGTTACAACATTATAATATTAAGATTAACTATATTTTTGTATCTTTTGAGCAATGTATGTGATGTGCCTTATATATAATTGTGTTGTGTTATCATTTTTTTTTTCTTGTAGGGAACAAATGGCCAAAGAAATGTCAGAAATTTTGAGTAGGTTAGTGCAGTGTGTTTGCAGAAATAAGTATTTATTACAAAAATCATGTTTTAAATGCCTTTTGATTATTTGGGCTTGGAACCTGTTGTATGAATGGCTTACTCTTTTCCCATGTAGCATTTATATGCAAGGAATGCCATCCTAACATAGTAAGAAGCAAGATTCTCCTAATCTTGGTGTCTCTCACCAAGGACGCAGCTGGCATTTAGGTACTGGGATGTGCTCATCAGTCTCACCCTGATGGGATGAGTGCTTGGGAACTCCCCCTAGGGTGGGAGTTCTGCCTCTACACTGTGCCTAGCTGAGGGGGGAGCAGAGTAAGAGTGGATCTTAAACGTGAATACTAGTTAAAAACCACTGCTGCAGATGAATTTTCAGAGAAAATCCCTGGTAGGATGGAGTTCATAATTTTTTGGTTGTGAGCCTAGGCCCTAGCCTATAATTTTTAAAAGTATATTTTATTCAATAATATTTTTCAAGTTAAAAGTTACAAAATTAATTAGAAGTGCTAAGTTAGTGGGTCTTACAGGCGCCTATCAGAGAAGACCTCTGGAACACCCTACTGACGGAGGTATTGAAGCAGAGGATGAGACTCATAACCAAACTTTGGGGAGAGTGCATGGAATTTTATGAAAGAAGGGGGAGATAGGAGGGGACAGGAGCTCCACAAGGAGACCAACAGAGCCATAAAAACTGGGCCCTGGGGCCCCTGCAGAGACTGATACTCCAACCAAGGACCATTCATGGAGATAACCTAGAACCCCTACACAGATGTAGCCCATGGCAGTTCAGTGTCCAAGTGGGTATAAGGGGAACTGGGACTATCTCTGACATGAACTGATTGGCCTGCTCTTTGATCACCTCCCCCTGAGGGGGGGTGCAGTATTGCCAGGCCAAGAGGAAGTCAATACAGCCAGTCCTGATGAGGCCTGATAGGCTAGGGTCAGATGGAAGGGGAGGAGGAACTCCCCTATCAGTGGACTAGGGGAGAGGCATGGGAGTAGATGAGGGAGGGAGGGAGGAAGGGTGGTATTGGGAGGAGGCTGCAGCTGGTATGCAAAGTGAATGAATTGTAATAAATAATAAATTAAAAAATGTCAGTTCTATTGTTTTAATGTGTTGTTTGTATGGTTGTCTTTGTGATAAGGATAATCAGTGAATTATACTTTTGTTTTACTGTTTTAATAATACAGAGACGGGGAGGGTAACATCCACCTGCAATGAGCTCATTTCCTGTTTCTAACTCCAAGTACATTTTTTAGCAGGTTGAGTAATATGAACAAAAAGCTAGTATTGTTGTTACACTCACCTTTATGGAGTAATAATTTGAATTCAGTGTTATCTTCAGAACCTATCAAAACATATCAAAACACACACACACACACACATACTTGCACACACTACGGTGTCTTATGTATATTTGACTATCAAACTATTTATTCTGTAAGTTGTCTTCCTTTTTCAAAACAGAAGAAAACAGAAAAAAACTTAAAATAATTTTCAGTTACTGTCCTAGAAAACATCTTTAAAAGAGTTGTGGTGGAAGTGGGTGTGTGTGTGTGTGTGATTTTTTTTCCAGTCACTTCATTGAATGGCAGTTTAGAGATGTAGAAACTAGTATTTTTGTAAATATTAAAGATATGTATTGGTAAGGATAAAAGACCTTGCAGACACATAGCTGACTCAACAGTTTGTACTGTGTATACTCACTCCGCTCATGTGTGTTCCATAAGGACATCTTCATACAACTGTCTGTTGTATTGAGCAGATCTCCGCCACGTGTCATCTACTCTTTATTTTTATTTTTTATATTAGTTACAGTTTATTTACTTTGTATCCCAGCTGTAGCCACCTCCCTCTTTCCCTCCCAATCCCTCCCTCCCTCCCTCACCTCCTCCCTGCCCCTCTCCAAGTCCACTGATAGGGGAGGACCTCCTCCCCTTCCATCTGACCCTAACTTATCAAGTCTCTTCAGGACTGGCTGCATTGTCTCCTCTGTGGCCTGGCCAGGCTGCTCCTCCCTCAGAGGGGGGTCATCCACTCTTTTATTTTCCTTTCCCTCCTGTTAGTCTCCTTTCCCCCTAGACAGTTAAGCTTTTCCTTTCATCTAAAAGATACATGCATGATTTTTTTTTTCAGTGCTTCTTTTTCTTCAATTACGACTTCTATTAATTCTCATTTTAAGAAAAAGAATTATTAATTTATTCATTGCTAAAGCTTCTAATAGTCTTCCAATTTTTTTTAATACTAAATTTTTTTTTATTAATTACACTTTATTCATTTTGTATCCCCCCATAAGCCCCTCCCTCCTCCCCTGCCGATCCCACCCTCCCTCCCCTTTCTGCATGCATGCCACTCCCCAAGTCCACTGATAGGGGAGGTCCTCCTCTCCTTCTTTCTGATCTGTAGAGGACAATGCAGCCACTTTTGATGAGAACTGATAGACATGCATGATTTTATGTATCTAAATCAAATATTGAAGTAAAAAATAAGAGAAAATGTGATATCTGTCTTTCTGAGACTGACTTATATTAATATGATTATTTCCATTTATATAAATTTTCCTGAAAATGCTGACATAACTTGGTTCAATTGATGGATACCTAGGTTAGCTCTGGGGCTTACAGTTAACTCTCTGAGCTAAGCAGTTAGGAAGGAAAAGCTGTATGCAAAATCGCTTGCAGATTTTGCAGAAAAACAGATGTTAGCCATAAAACACAGCAAGGATTAAATAGGTACTTAGTATTCATCAGTCGGTATATGATGGTCACTGTGTCAAGGACTTTCAAGTATGCCAAATATGCTATTTTTATCACCCAAACTACACACATTTGCCTTTAAAAGAGGCAAAGATAGCTTATTTGTTTCATCTCAGGTTTAATGTTGAAAATGTAATTTCTATCACATCAGGAAAAGGTTATATTTTCTTAATTTTTTTCTTTTATTGAAAATAGATTTTTTCCAAACGATATATCTCTATTACAGTTTTCTCTTCTTCTGCTCCTCCCAGTTCCTTTCTACCTCTCCTTCCAGCCAATCTTTCCTGTTTCTCATTAGAAAATAAACAGGTTACTAAGGTGTAATAATAAAATCAAGCATAACATAATATAATAAGATAAAACAAAAAAACCCCACGTAGAATTGGACAAAACAAATAAATAGAATTTAAAAAGCCCAGGAAGAGGCACAAAGGGTGATGTATTTTCAATGGTGGTTTTCAGTAATGTCAGTCATCTAAAGTGTCTCTCTCTTCGCCATTTGCTGGGACTGCTATTCTTTGAAAATGTAAAATGGTGAGAGACCACATCTGCTCTCAGGTAGCTTGCCTTCATTGTCCTTCTTAAGAGGAACGTTCTGAGGTAGAAGACGGTAGAAGACGGCTGTGGTGGTGGTGGAGGGCTTGCTTGTTTGATACCCAAGAGCCAGCGTTTTAGCCCCGCACAGTTTACTTACCATAATATCTGTGACTCTTCTTTTTCTGTTTTGAAACCTGATGGGTTGAACCTCTTCCTTCGTTACATTGAGCGTAACATAAATCATGAAAATTGATTCTGAGTGCCTGTCTCATGATAAGTATATTTCTTGTTGAAAAATATAAAATTTTTGATTACAGAGGTCCTGCTGTACAAGCTACTAAGGCGGCTGCTGGTACCAAGAAACATGATCTCAGTAAATGGAAATATGCGGAGCTTCGTGATACAATCAACACTTCTTGTGGTAAGTGCACGGAAGAGATGAAGGAGAGGAGGGGTCCATACCAACAGCCAATAAGAGAACTACCTAGGTTCCGGTAATGTGTGTGCATGTACATGAATGTCCGTGTGCATGCGTGTGTGGGTGTGTGCAAAGTACCTAAACCGGTCTGTTTGTTATTCCTTGTTCCCTTGAAAATGGAGACATGAAAGACATGTGTTCTAGTTGCTTTTCTGTTGCTGTGATAAAATACTCTGGCAAAAGGGACGTTAGAGGAGAGAGGGTTTATTGTAGCTTGTAACTCCAGGTTACAGTCCATCATCATGGAAAAAAGGAGGCTAAAGCAAGCTGTCATACCACATCTACCATCGAGAGCAGAAAGAGTAGATGCACAAATTGTACCTATCCTGCTTTTCCACTCTTACACGCTCCTGGGCCAAACCCAGGGACTGTCGCTGACCACAGCGTGGGCAGGCTTTTTCACATCGCAACTAATACAGTCAGGACACTCTCAGATATGTCCACAGACAGACTAGCCTGGTCTAGACTGTGCCTCATTGAGACTTTTTTTTCCCAGGTGAGTGGAGGTTGTCTCGGGTTGACAATGAAAACTAACCACCATGATTAAAGAATTAAATGCATTTTGCCCGTTTCTTACCCAAGTCAAAGAAAAGGATCAAATACAACTTATGACTTAGGCTATATTAATGACTAGTTTCTCTAATGTTTATAATAGTGGTAAAATACTTGAATATCTGGATCTTTTCTTTTGTGAATCCAGAGTAATAAGTACCAATATAACCATTTCTTTTTAAATTGTTTTTTTTTTTTCCCCAGCAGAACACTTAGCTGTATGAGAGACAATACTCAGAGTCTCACATCGTTAGGGTCTTCTTTAAAGCACAGTGTGTAAGTTCTGGACACTGACTAGTTGGACAGGGCTCTTGCTGTGCTCTCGTCCTCGCCGAGTGCAGTGTGCTATGAACGTGAGAATGCAGTGCATGTAGCCCTTGCTTGTATTTGAGCACAGTAATTATCTTCATCTAAAATCCTTTCTCACTCAATTTCTCCATATACAAAACATCTGTTTCTTCTAGAGTTCTTGACTTGGGCAAATGATACAGATAATAATAATACGAGAGTAATAATCTGTAAATATGAAAGACTGAAATGCTCATCCTCAGCTTCCTTTTTGTTTTGTACCAGAAACTGAAAACCAAAAACCTTTACATACACCTGTTGGTGCCATAGAATGATTATATCAGATGAATAACTTGGGATGTTAATTTTTCTCTCCATGTAATCAATAGATATTGAGCTCCTGGCAGCTTGCAGAGAAGAATTTCACAGGAGGCTGAAAGTTTATCATGCTTGGAAATCCAAGAACAAGAAGAGGAATACAGAAACAGAGCAGCGCGCTCCCAAGTCTGTTACCGATTATGGTATAAACAAATCTGTACTTTTCAGTGTTCTAAGTATTCTATATTTAAATTCATGTACCTACACATGATTTTTTTTGAGTAAAAGAGTTAACATAAATTTTTCTTGTGATCTGGTGATCATGATACAAGCATGGTAACCTGTCTTATATAACATCTTCTATGACATTTTAATTTTTAATGACATTTATATGACATTTTAATGTCATGTGTCAAGATACATTGAATTTACTTGTTATGGTCAAGTCTAAAGGTAAGAATTGTCTTGTTTGTGCTGACAGAGTTGGACAATACTAAGTACAAAGTTACACACACACACACACACACACACACACACACACACACACACACACAC